TAATAATAATAATAATAATAATAAATAATAGTAATGAATAAACAATAAACAAGTGTAAAGATAATGACTATAACGTTCACGAGATAACGGAGGAGGAGAACTGTAGGTTGCTCTTGATCCAGTCGAGGTACTCGGAGATCCGAGTGTAGACACCGGGATAGCCGGGCTCGCCGCACTTGTTGCCGAACGAGACGATGCCGATCTGCATCCAGCGGTTGTCCTCGCGCAGCATCAGCGGCCCGCCCGAGTCACCCTGGCATGCGTCCTTGCCACCCTGACTGTAGCCCGCGCACAAAAAGTTACTCGTTATCGGCTGGAAGTACGCCTGATTGCAATCGTCGTTTCTCCAAACCGGGAGCACCGCCTGCCGCTGAACCGTGCTCTCCTTCCCACCTGCGGTGTACATCATATATATTTATATAGGGACAGGATAACAAGGGCCAATACATTTATATACGTGCAAGATAATAATTACCGTAGTAGGTAGTGCCCCAGCCGACGACGGTCGGGCGTTTGCCGGCGAAGGGTTCGCCCCGGTGGCGCGCCTGCGGCAGGCAGATCGGTATGATGTAAGGCGTCTTGTGCACCGGTCGCTCGAGCTCGAGGAGCGCGATGTCGTTGTAAAAGCCGACGCGCGAGAACTTGGGGTGCGCGTGGATCTGCCTCACCAGGTACGTTTGCGGACTCGAGGGCTCGTCGTCGCGCTCGAGGTCTATGTCGCCCAACCGCACGCTGAACTGCCGCGCCAGGAACCTGTTGACGGTGTAACATGCACAACTATTTAGTTATACGATGGAAAATTTACATCCTTCGCGCACTGGGTACGCTATATTGTGACGAAATATAATCAATATAAGCTCACGAAAGTCCGAGTTTGGTGATGGTTTAAAAAAAAAAAAAAAACCTAAAACAATGGTCGAATTGCACGGCTAATAAGTGTGCGCACGAAAAAAACAGGGGTGGCTGCGGAAAAGAAGAGAAGAGCAAATAACGCTGTCCTGTGTGTGCGAAATAAAAAAAAAAAAAAAAAAGCCCACCTTATCTCGTGTAAAGGGAATATTTTGACGATGCGTGAAAAAAAAACACAAATGTGATTGGTATAAAATCAGTGTGAAATATAGTTAATGTATGACTTACGGGCGTTGGCGCTGGTCGCGCGTGCAGTGGGCCGCGGTAAGGATGTGCCGGCGGGTGATGAGCGAGCCACCGCACCAGAACTCGGTGCGCCTCGAGCCGTGCAGGAATATAGCCGCCATCCAGGGCCAACGGCCGGGCAGTGCCTCCTCGCCACCGACGACCCGGTACTTGCCCGCATTTCGCACCCCGCACTCCCCTATACCAGATATAATTATATTAATACCGATTTATTGTTTTGTTTTCAACAACACAGAGACAGGGGCCCACAAATGAATTACCATCATCGTCGTCGTCTTGTATGTCGTTGTTGTCGACACTCTCGAATATGGAGGTCGTCCCGTTGACGTGAAGGAATTGATCGATCTGATCGACGAGGGGCGGCCGCCTAGTGGTACTCGCCGTCGGGCGCACCGTGAACAGCGGAATCGGCCGAGGAGTCGGCTTGGCCGGTGGCTTGGTCGTGAAGCTTGAGGTACAAACAAACGTGATTGTTTAGAAAAAAAAAAAAAAAAAAAAAAANTTTATCCTTGGAATCGGTGCGCGTATACGAGCACACACTACACGAGAGTTTGTTTTATCAGCGCACAGTCAAAGGGAAAAAAAGTATATGTGTTTAGCCGCGCTCGGAATAGCCCGAAAAAAAAAAAAAAAAAAAAAAAAAAAAAAAAAAAAACGGAATCCCTCAAGTATCTCCACTGAGTATTGCAAACTATAAGCTTACACCGGGAGGAGCGTAGGCGGCGAGGATGGCGGCAGGGGCGTCGAAATGGTGAGGATCTGGACCTGGTGGGGCTGGTCGACGTAGGGGCAACAGACCCCGGGCACAAAGAGACTCTTGAAGCAGATGGACTGCCGGAGCTTGCTGAGGTTGAGCAGCAGGTGGGGACAGTTGCTGAGGTCCTGGCACCGGCCGGGCACGTTCTCGGTGCTCATGCAGCTGGGCGCGGCGTCGAGACTCGAGGGGTGGCCGGTCTGCACCTTGGGATCCCTGTTTGGGATGAGATCGAGCCGGTTCACCGGAACCGCGGTCTCCACCGTGGACGGACCGGCACCGCCAACCACGCTCCCAGGGAACTGCACCGTCGACTGACCGGCTGCTGGCCTTGCAAGAGAGAGAGAGAGAGTTGGGGGTGTTATTGTATATACCGCGGTGTTGGAGTTTGTTTGTTAATGATACCTCAGGGGCAGGGTGAAGGCGGCTATGCTGTCGGTGACGTTTCTGCCGAGTATGTTCTTGGAGATGGTGTAGAGGGCCGAGGGGAGCTCCTTGGGGGGCTCGGAGGTCTCGACGCCCCGGGTCATGTCGACGATGTAGCTGCCGACGGTGTTGAGGGCCCCGAGGGTCTCGGTGATGGTCGTCAGGGGGTCGTTTTTGGCGAACGGCGGGCCGATCTCCGGCACGCGGACCAACTGGAGGCGCGCATCGGGCGCCGCGGGGGCTTCGGGATCGGTCGTCCCTACAAGTTCTACGAGGTGCGGGTTACGACAACTGTGAGTATGTTTTTTTTTTTTTCCTCATCATTTCGTACCTTTTGTACCCACGCGAACAAAGTCCTCGCTGTAGGCCAAGCTTCCGGCGATCGACAGCAAGCAAATTCCTTCAATCATACGTACCAAGAGACTTTTTCAATCAGATACATTTATAGTTTGTTTGTTTTTTTTTTTTATGGTTTCTAACTAGGTATACTTATAGGTGCGGTGTTTCGCGCGAGTTAGAAACGCTCGGATTGCGTAATCGGGATACGCGATGAAAGTAAGCGTAGTGAAAAACCCACGATTCGATCATCGTCCGACGTCAGAGATGAAAGAATTTCGAGAGAAAACGCTTATAGTATACATACATCAGGCACCTTGTATTTATATAGAGTGACGAGGAGGGGGCTTTCAAAAGCGGATTTCGTCAACTTTGGGAGATCCGGGAATGGCCGCCAGTGCGTGGTTTATGTGCGTAAGCAAGAAATATATGATATCGGCAGTAAAGCTATGACGTGCCATGTATAGGTAAAACACGCGCTCGCGATGGTACACCATCATCGGCAAACACCAATACATACCATATGGAATATAGTAAAACCCATGGGTACGTGTATGTGTTACGCAAGAGGGGCCATTTATCATGCAGATCAGGTGTGCGCGAGTTAGTCGATTGGCTCGGCTGGCCGGCCGGCTCTTATGACGCACACGTATAGGTAGTTTGTTGCTATTTACCGCGTCTCCATTTCAGCTATAGCCCGCGACGCGACGAAAAGAACGAAGGGGAAAGTGTGATGGATACAATGTACGAGAAGTACATAATATGTAATATTGTCTACTGTATGCGTATAAAACTTTTTTGCTACGTAAAGTTATGGGGGTGTCGTAACCCGTAAATCTAATTTTCACTCTATTGTTAATTTTTTCATTTTTTTTTCGGTTTTCATTCGGCAATATTTCAGGACAGATCTATAAAAGATTCAATAATATTTTTACTTAAAAGGTGGAGGGTGGAACCTGCCGAAAATCACATCCGCAAAATAACGGTCACCCTATACATGTACAGATGATGTATGTATGCCACGCATTATCATTATTATTATACATGCTCAATCGAATATTCTGAATACGAAACAACATTCGCGCGTCAACGAAACTCTCACTTCTTAACGAGCCGCGATCGTTTACGGGTAGCCCAAGCGACGAGAGCCGAGATGCCCGTGTATTTTTTTTTAATTTTCGTATCACATTATACACATAATATTTAATCGCGTGTCGTAACATACAAGGTATGGTGTAAAATAGTTGGAAAATAAAATTTGAGTAAGATTCCGTGTGTTTGAAAGAAAACATTTTTTTTTTTTTTTTTTTAACCAGAGCTTGCCTATTTTGCTTAGCTTGATTAATCGATGGATGACAAATCAACGGTAAAAAAAAAAAAAAAAAAGGTTTTAATTCCAATCATCATGGGGCAACTTTGAATTTTCAGCCACAAATAAATAAACTGGTGATGGTGTAATGGTTGAGCCCACATACACGTCCGGTTTAATGTTTTTGGAGGTAGGTATTATCATCTCGTCCAACTTTTTCAACGCGAAAGTGGAGAAAATCGGCCTATACTCTTATTTTCAGTATAGGAATAATGAATTCTGGGCTCGTAAACATCCCACGGGCTATTCTAATGGAAACCGGTTTAGGTGAACTTTTTTTTTTTAAATTAAATCATAGTTTTCAAACACACGCAATGTCACATAGAAACGTTATACTTTGGGAACGGAGCCGAAACAAGGCACCCTCGCGCACATTAATACACGTAATTATTGCTATTTTGCATACACGAGTACGTACACAACGTATTATAAAGTGCGTGTGTGTGCGTATACGCGTAAATGATACGTATTGGTGTGTGTGTGTGTGTGTGTATACATGTATAAAACTAAAAGGCTAACTTGGCCTCGTGCTTCATCGACGGTGAAAGCTACTCGAGCGAGAAAGTGCGCTTACCTGGCCTTTCTTTCACTCACCGATTCATCGCTCGAAGACGATGGCGAGCGCGTAAGTATAATGCGTAAAACACCTGTATATATATACATACATACCACACCATAGAGACACACATGCATCCTCCTACTGTCATTATATGTTTCGTTCGTGGGTACATAATATATGTATACACTATGTGTATGATCGGTAAGTACGACAAAGCTAATTTGAGCCGACACGCCGGGTCTTTTCATTCAACCCTGAGAGAGCTACAAGTATACAAGTATAGGTGCACACAGGTATTATTCACAATTTTTCATACACGTGTATATATGCTTATGTGTTCCGCGAATCGAGTAATGTACAACATACCTGCCTACCTACTCTTGAAAAAAAAGTAGGTTGGTGAGTTGGGAATGATTCCCACCACCGAGTTAAAATCTAGTTTTCATAAAACTGACGAATGTTGTGTACCTGTATAGGTACTTTAAATGCGTGTTGCCGTAAAACTGAAAAAAAAAAAAAAAAACAATTGTAAAAGAACCATCAGATTTTAACGAAACGAGTGTTTTGTGTGGTACGTAGTAATGGATCATTGTCAACTGATAAACGATATTGATGATGCACTGATTTTACTTTATAGAAATAAGAAAATCCAACTAAATCAAAATGAGAGATATATATGGATAGACAAACCATTATATTTGAAATAAAACGACTTAAAGTTCAATAAGCATTACATGGCGAGATCATAGTGTGTGCATGTATGCGGTGCAAGTACACGTATCGTCTCCTCTCGGGTTGCGTTACACTTTTGAGATTTCGTTGCTCTCTGACGTCGATAAGAGAGGCGGTTCACCATACATGCATGCATACCTACTCGGCACACTCGAAAAAAAGAGACCGGTCTCACTTTTATTTACCGAACCATACATTACGCGCGCGCTCGAGAGAAGAGCGCAAACACACATCCTCTACGACACACACACGCGGTGTAGGATGGTGCGATTCGTGGGTATATATCTCTTTTTACGTTCCCGTGTGAAAGCGAGCTCTGGATTTTCTCTTTCTTTGTCGATCATCCTTTCTTTCTCTCTCTCTCTCTCTCTCTTTCGAAAAATAAATTTCACTCGGGAAAAACGGTTTTTGCCCGGTCAGCTGGTACTTTCATTATATCTACACCTATATGTTATTGTACAATAACTATATGTACGGTATACGGTTAACTGAACAAATAAACAAGTTCATCATCATCGCGGTCGCTACGTTGCCGCGATTGCACTGACAAGTGGACCATTTTTGCCATTTTGCTTAAAGTGCATGTGCTTTCAAGAGAGACTCGGCGATTTTGGATTTCTCGGTCAGGGTAATACCATAAGGAAAAAAAGAAGAGAAAAAAGATGACGAACCAAGATGTAAAAATTAAAAATCCGAGACATGTACACCTACGGATACGGGTGTATTATGCCCGCGCATGTAGAAAGGCGAGAGAGCCTGACCGATGGAGCGTGGGTATTTCGTTCGATCGCTCCGATTTCTTTTACCTCTATTGTGCTGGGGGAGAGCGCTCGCCAAACCATCGAATATAATATCACTTTTTCTTTTTCTTTTTTTTTTTTTATACGCGCAAAAATTTATGTGACAGGCAAAACAGGGCACGGAGTTCGGGAATAACGAGCAGCGCAAAAATCGGCTGAATCGCGCAAAGCGAAATCCGATGTACAAGCCAAGCGCGCGTATATTGCATGGAAAGGCGAGCTGCAATCGGTTATTTAACGGATTTCACGGAGAATCTTGTACTAGATTAAAGTGAGCAGCTGCATCGGGACTTTGTTTTTTTTTTTTGCACTTGGTCGCTGTTCGAGCTTATTGATAACGGTACACATCGGCAAGATAAAGCCCAGCCACTGTAGATGTTACGGCGAGACCGGCGGTTTTTCGCGAAAAAAGCAACAGTTCGATTAGTTTGCGTGCACACGGGCTCCAAAATGTAAGACGCGTACGGTATTGAATTTATTTCAGAGTCAGCGTTACCGATCATTAGGCTTTCAAGACGCGTGATAAATTTGATAAAATGCACTTAAAAAGCTCGTATACATACGTATGTACGCCCGTGTATAGTTTCAACGAGCGCCAATTTTCAAATGCTCTCAAGTCGCGTATGTGTATTCTGGTACTCACCTGCCAGTACCGATACCGCTGCGTTTTTACTGATGGGGGACTTCATCGTGGTGAGGGTAATGTGGGTGGAGGTAGTTTAGACGAGCACTGACAAAGGATCGGATCGGCTCCGGCTCGCATTTGAGCTGGGCTTGAGGGTGCCCAACTACTGTTACACGGCCACTCCAATGGGGACTGTATAGGACGTGCGGAAGTTCCGCTCGCGCTCGTCGCGACGACCTGACTGATTCTCGCGCCGATGCCGCGGACCGGCAGACTCTGCCCGTGAAAAGACCTCGACACACTTTGTGCCGCTCGTGTTCTTCCTTTCTTTCTTTCTTTCTTTCTCCGAAGTTGCATGTCTTTGGTCGGAGCGCCGAGGAGGCGCCTGTCCGTAAGGGAAAGTGCTTATCCCTACTCGGCTCTGGCGGTGATGGCCACTCGCTGCCGACACCGCCGATTCGTCACATCTCTGGCCCGTGAGTAGCTTGTACATACCCACAGAAATAAGATTCGCTCTTTGGCCGCGACTAAGAGCGCTCATTGCGACAGCAACTTCCGCATTCCTCTACATCTCGCTCCAGCCTCCTCGAGTTATGTTTATAATAAATAATAAATCATTTTTCAATACTAATAGTGTATTTTATTATTATTTTTATGAATCATTGTTTTTACATCTCGGAAGTATGTGGCATCTATATTCCTCGGCAATGTCTATATCTTCAATTATACATCGACTTTGCTCCCTTTAAGTATAATATTCCTACTCGGACAAGTACCAATATAATTACAATTACAATTTTCTTTAGTGAAGCATTTCAATTCAATGCTTTTTTGTTGTTGTTATTGTAAATACGTACATCTTAATTGTGCATATTATATAATGACCTACACTTCTTGGATGATAACTTTTAGATATCAAGTATATTTGAACTGCCGATTGATGTACAGCTAAACCTATGTGGAGTATGCTTAAAAAATTCAATCGCATGACAGTTTCATACAGTCCCGTATCATTCATTAAATCTGTGTGAATCATAAGATTTAAAAAAAAAATCAGTTCTCGTTTGTAGTAAGACTTAAAAATTGGCCATTGGTTCAAGAAGTATGATTTAGTCAACAATCAAGAGTTTCAATTACATAATTGCGAATCTTTTTTTTGCATTCTTATCCCTAGTGTAAAATATTACTTGCTAAGTTGTTAATTACATTTTTTCCAGCTCAGTACTTTCTCATATTTTGCATGTTATTTTTGTAAGGATCAAATCTATCATAGGAACCGCTGTTTCCTTGTGACATTCCATATGACTGTGAAGGTCCACCACCTTGATACATCTGTGATCGCTGGTGTCCCATATTATTTCCTCCTATGTTGGAGTTCCATCTATTGTTGGGTCTGTAAGATTTTTTTCATGTTATAACTCGTTACTGTGTTTTATTAACTTATAAATGCAATTAACAATATGCAAAGATCTCATTAAGTACCTCGAATCTGAATTTCGATTATTCCAGCCCGACTGTTCATTCCGATTATTCATGGAATTGAATGGTTTGGACGGGGGTCCAGAATGCCATCCAGTTTGCCGATTATTATCCACGTAACGTCCATCTCCTTGATAATATTGAAAATTCGTTCAAATTACAATTTAAAACATAAAAAATAATTATCATGCCGCACATTTTACAACAATTCCGTATAAATGTGAAAAGCACGAGAGTTTGAAGATGCGTAAAATACAACTTACGTGGATTGCCGGGCTTTGAATTGTCGAAACGATTATTGTGGTTGTCCCTAGAACCTCGGTGGCTGTCATCCGACCGATGAACTTCGCGTTCACGATTGAATCCCGAGGGACGTTCGTACCTGTGTAAAATATTCGAGTCACGAACGGAAGACAAAAATAAGACGAATGAATGTAAGGTAAGGTCGAGAAAACTACACTCGACACGCACCTGTCCTTCATGGGTCGGTTGTCCATAGAGTTCTGATGGGGTCGCGATCCCACATCCCTGCGCATCATGCCGTCTCTGTTGCCAGCCGGCCGACCGGACATTTCGTACTGATCGTCCGAGCGGGGGTTGTTGCGAGGATTAAAGTCATTGGCGCGCTTGAAGCCAGGCTTGTGCACAGGTGGGCCCTGGTCCTTGGCTCGCCCGGTGTCGTAACGTCCTCCACCCGGCCCCGAGGAGTCCATGCGCCGATTACCACCTCCACCGACCGGGGGACGCTCCGAACTGTGTCTGCGATCAGTGTTTGGCCGCTTGCGCTCGGGCTCGTAGGTGTCGCGTGGCCTCTCTCCACCGCCACGTTTGATGCCCGATGAGGATCCTGAAGGTGGTGGCGGTGGCCCGATGCCCCGGCGGTTCTCTTCCACACGCATTTGAGTTCGCTTCAGCTCGATGCGTTCGCGCTCCAGTTTCTTGCGTTCGTCGAGCACCTCTCGTTCTCGCTCCAGCCGCAGCAACTCTACCTTCTCCTGCTCGATGCGCTCCCGCTCCAGACGCAGCTTCTCTCGCTCGCGCTCCAGCCGAGCGGCTTCGCGCTCTATTGCTCGCTGGCGCTCAATGTCCTCGCGTCGGCGGCGCTTCTCTTCGCGCAGAAGGCGCTCCTTTTCTCGCAGACGTTGTCTCTCGCGCTCCTCCTGGTCGGGTCGGAACGAGAACACAAACAAACAAAGAGTCCCATTTTAGTCGCTGCCCAGCCAACATCGGTTCACTCGCTGCCGCTGCTGCTGTCGCCGCGATTATGGCTTGGAATATATGCGCGTCAATGGGTGCTTATTGTTAGTTTTCATACGCGGTTACTGTGATGTTTTAATCAAGCGACTACAGCATGCTGGCGAATGATTGCTTTGGCGCCAAGTGACGCAAATTTTTAACCAATAGACGTATACTTATACACAAATATATACTTTTATTTTATCAAAAGATAGTACGTTATCTCTACGGGTGCGCTCTCGACTCTTGGATCTGGAAGTGCGCGATCTATCCCACGAGCGTTTTTTGTCCTCTCGACTGTTGCCACGCTCTCGATCCGACTTTTTGCTGGAAGATTTGTTTGACCGCGTGTCGCAATCCTTCAGAGATCCCTCGTCCTTTGTTTCAGAACTGTTTTCTCGTTTTTCTCTCTCAGTGGCCGACTCTTCGGCTCCTGCCTTGCTGTCCACTTCTTTGGACGACTCGTCACTTTTTTTCTTTTTCCCACCCTCTTCTCCATCAGCCTCCGGATTTTTTTCGTCGTCTTCTTTCTCTACAGTTTCCGACTCCTTGGATTTTTCCTTCTCATCCTTTTTATCTGTCTTGCTGCTTGATAATTCTCGCTTCCGATTATGACCTTGTTGAGAATCACCTTTTGCCTATTTTACGCCGAGTATACATATATTTTAGCTCGTATTGATCGTATTTGTACTGACAAGAAGAAAAAGAAAAAGAAAAAAAACATACTTTTTCAACAGATATGAGTCTTCCGTGAAGCTCTGTCCTGTGCAAATGTTCAATACATTTTTCGGCATCGTCACTACTTGACATTGTGACGTAGCCGTAGCAACGAGCTCCAGGAGTTCTAGCATTAGTAACCACTTTTGCTCCAATGACTTTCCCATATTTTGAGAATATTTGCTTTAAATCGGTTGCACGAGTAGTTGAAGACAATCCAGAAACCCAGAGATTTCTACTGCTAGCATTTGGTGAAACTGTAATAATTATATTGAAAGGTTAATCATCTGATCTCATATGTATATTCCCGCTCAATAGCGTTTTACAATAATTCATTTTGTTAACTCACTTTTCTCGTCTTTTTTTGAGCTTTTGTTTGCCGTATCACTGCTGTAAAAAACAAACATAAAAATGAACATGTTTTCCTGAAATTGCTTGAATAAAAAAATTAGAGCAAATAATCATTTGTTTTGTAAAAAGACAAAATCAATGATCATTATTATTAACAATATTTTTAAAAGAGTATCAACAATCGCTATAAAAAAAATAACAGGAGTCATATGTTGACAAATAGGTTTTTATAATTTTTTTTACTCTGCTAACAGCATATTCGATATAAATTTCGAATTCTCTATCAACATTGCCATATCAAAAACATTTTTCTTCAGCGTTTATCACTATTTCTATATTTTACTATTTTACTGGTCCATTAGACTATTTAATTTATTGTTTATCATTTAAAAATTATTTACCTCATGATTAAAAAAAAAAAAAAAAAAAAAAAAAGAATAGCTGATAGTTGTAAAATCAAGTTAATAAAAAGTTTAACAAAAAAATTTTCATCAACTAAACTGTCTTAAAAATGTCAATGAACGTAATAAATGACCACAATTTTTTTTATAAAAAATTATGACATGGTTAAAATTTAATCGCCGCGAGAAAAATGAAAATGTTTTGCAAGTTATTGGTCATGTTTTTAAATACACAACATATTTGCCAAATTAGTAACAGACCCCAATTGGGTCGGGTTCAAACGTAAAACTTAGATACACTAAAAATGTTGTATTGATGTATTATACACACATAACCACGTGTGTATAAATATTAATATAAAGAAATAAACGTATACACGTAAAAATATAACTGGTAGGTTTTAAAATTGGGATCATGACGATTCTTCACTTGGCAATGTTCTGTTTCTCAAATTCAGTGGATCATCATTATCTCCATTCAATATTATCATCTTCATTGTCAGCATCGTCATCAAAAGAGGTCATCATTGGTGTGATTCGTTGGAGTGATTTTTTTACTTTTCTTGTCGAAACAAAATTGACGCACACTGTGACTAGGATTTGATCGATTGAACGATGATTTCGATTTGTTTTGAGCTGAAAAGGCCTTTGCTAGCTGAGCCAAAATGTGGCCCTTAAGCAGACGTCCGATCGCAGGCTAAACTGCAGTACTGTGAACCGTTTAGCGAATGTGAGACCAACCTCTTGCATCCCTCTCCATCTGGCTTGTTTTTGAGGTTCGTCGCGCTGGCACCTGATGAAGCTGCCGAGGTCGAGATCGAGCTTCCTTCCTTGTTGCTGCTGGTGCCGGTGTTACTGCCACTGCTGGCGCCTGCCTCTGCTCTACCGCTCCCTTTAGAGTCTCCCTTCTTGTTGGCGTTGCTGCTGCTGGTAGTGCTGTTGCTGTTGTTATTGTTGTTGGTACCACTACTGCTGTTGCTGTCGTTGTTGTTGCTGCCTACGCTGACATTGTCACTTTCTTCCAATCGTTTTTTAACGCCTCCATCTGCTGGGACAATCAAGGTAGCATAACGGTCACTCTCTCTTGCTCTGTCTGCATCTTTCTCGCTCTCTTCCTCCCTTTTTTCTTTTTCTCACTATCAATTTTTTTCTCAACATCCTCCCTATCTAACTAAACCTTAAAAAATTCTAGCTTCCTAGCTAACGTTCTGGACACCGCATATAGATGCCCACTTCTGGGACAGCGAGACTCGACACACAGAGCAGAGAGAACAACTTCCTGTTTTTTACACCCTAATGCGGTATTTTATTCGTTATTCTTTATTTCGTTAATGTCCTTTGAAAAACTGGCCATGATAACTAATAACCATTCATTCCACTGGAAGAGCTCCATTTGTTTGTAACAAGATGGGAAACTAGAAAGGGAAACTGGCATGCCATCATTAGAGGATCAGGCACCTGTTCAGCTTAAAAAAAGCACTTCTGATAGCCACACATAAATTAATTTTCCATGAATTTTAAGAAAAGAAAAAACCAATAGGTTCATGCTTAGAAAAAGCCCGTGACTAACTAGTTCAAAACACACGTCTGCCTTTACTTATGTCATTTTCTGAATCAGAACATGTAGATTAACAGTTTTTCAGGGATAATTCAAAAACTGGTTTATAAATATTTGATAGACTAGTAAACGATGCAAAAGTTATCCAGCGATGCATCTGTACAGTGTATGTTAGTTAATCGATTGCATTACGAAATTTGTATTGATATCTCAATCAAAGTTTAAATCATATCTGTAATTTTCTCTGCTGTAACAAACTTTAAAATCATAATGTAATTAAATTTCATAGAAATATCACGTCAAAATTGCATAAGCTGTGAAACTAAATCTCGTTGAAAGATTGTGATTCTCGTAGTCATCGTTGTTGTCCAATCTCAAGAGGATAGTCCACAGGGAAGAATAATCACTCCTAATTACTTTGTTTAGTCAAGATCCACAACAGAAGCCAAAGCTGACTCAATCTTCATTACAGCGGTATATTTTTTATCTCTTTCTAGTATAAGTTCTTTCAATATTGGTGGTTACGTTGTAAAATATTTTCTGCTTTAACTTGGGTACAGTTCGTATTGTGAAACATTAAAATGCAACTTCCATAATCAATAATAACTAATGATATCTTGCCATATGATGGAAAAAAAAAAAAAAAAAAAAAAAAAAAAAAAAAAAAAACGAATAGTATTTTAAAGGCTTAACGCAACCTGATTATTTACACACCAATATTTGAGTTCATTGTAAAACGAGTGTATTTATTCAAAAATTTATGAAACTTGTTTAGTTTAAAACCATTCAGCTTTCAAGCTCACCAAAGATTGAAGCAGACAAAAAGTATTAGATGTGTTCAGGGTTGCAAAAATTGCAAGCAGTCTAATACCTATTACATAAATACTTTATGAATTGTTCATTTAAGAAAACGAAATTATTTATTGCATTTCATAATTTCGATTTAAGTTTTTCATTACCCATTACTTTTACAATTTGTAATTAAAAATTTTCATAAAAAAATTACACAAGCAATTTTTTATTCTCAAATTAAAAAAAGAATGGGNTCTTAAAGGTCGAATTTCGATAAATTCTAATCTTGCCGCAAATGTTATCTCAAATCATAGACATACTAAAAAAATCTCGCTTGCAGATCGTTAAACAATCCATGTGTATAACACGTTCCATAAACATTCCGTAAAATTTGTCTACACGGGCCCCATGTCACGGGGTCCAATATTAGACATACACATGATCGTATTCGCCAAAAAAAAAAGTGATAAATAAATATCGTTTGCAAATGTACTCTCACTCTCCTGGCTACTTCTTGTTCCCATTCGTATTTTTTCTTTTTTTTAAATTTTTCTAGTGATTATAATACTCAGCATGGACCGATGGGTGGATGGAATTAGTGGACTCGAGTGTGGGTGTACATATTCCCGACCCCTCCCACGAGTTGAGTGACACTGAAGTCACGTACTGAAGTGTACACGATTCCAGTGTCACTCTGCCTTTAATAAACAACTACATAAATAAATAAAATAAAATACACAAATATTATATGTAAATTATAGAAAAATATCATACCTCTTCAGCAAGAAGATTTTCTTCATCTTCTCCAATTGTCAAATTAATTGAATCTTCGTTATCAATTCCATTAGTTTCAACAGCAGAAATATTGCTAGATTCATCTTCAGACATAAATGTTCTTTTATTAGAAGCAGGCTCTTCTTCACTTGTAGTTGTGACAGTTGGTTCTTGCTCTTGTTCTTGCTCAGTTTCTTGATATTCCTTTGATATATACAAATAGAATCGTGTGCAAGTATAAAAGTTCAAACAACAAAAAATAAAACAAATGCTTGTGTACCATTTCAAATTCATCTGGATGAGCAGAAATATTTATAACTAGCTCTTCGGTGTTGTCAACTGTATTTGATGCAGATTTTTCAGAGTTATCTATTTTACTGTCCAACTCATTTTTGTGAATATCAGTTTCTAACGCTTCTTCTATCAAAATTGAACTGTCTGCAATGATTAAATACAAATAATAAGTACCATACTAGGAAACTTTTCTTAGAACACAGTGAATAAAATGTAAGTCTATATATATACCAATTGGTTTTTTAGGGCTAGCTCTGACTCCACCAGACGGAACTATCAAATATTCATCTGGATTTTCGCCTTCATCAATGATGGCCTGGATGTGTCAAATAAAAAAAATTGTCAACGACTTAATACAGAATGGTGTATAAACTCTACTATTAGTATACTTCCAGTATACCATGTAAATGATAAAAAAAAAAAAGTAAAAAAAATAGTAAATAACAGAACATACAACACAGATACAGAAATAATAAAATAAGTTGAAGTTAAAATTAAAACAACTAGGCGAGAGAGGTTTTGTATATTCCTCTGTGCTAATTATTCCACAATAGGCTCATATATTTTTGTATGAAATCTCTTAAACTAGTGTTTGGGGCTTTCTTGGCTACTACTATAAGTTATTAAGATAAAGCTTTAAATATATAAGTAATCATTCATTTCTATAGCCTCAGGAGAGTTCTGAATCCGTGATCATAAGGGGGCCAAGGCCTTTAACGGAATGTGTCCGTAGACCTTACAGGGTAGGCTCAATAGCCTACTTGTATTTGCTAGAATTTTGCAACCACGTGGTTGTATGGCAGTATGTAAGAAGTAATGAACTAAAATTCAGAACCACTGTTTATTGGCACGTAATTGGGTATTTATGTAAATCAAAATAAACAAGTAGTTAGTTCAGATAGATACTTGTGATTTAAATAGTGTATAATATAAGTAGATTTTATTCATCACGATTGTTATATTTTAATTATCCACGGACTCAATCACATTATGTTACACGTACTTTTTCTTCTAGTTGAACGACTCTAGGACTGTGTGCACTATACATATGAACTTGACATGATTATCATTCCTAAATAATTCGGTTACCTACAGGATTAAGATTCCAAAATGTTTCTGTACATGGATGTAAAGTACTGTAAGGGTAAAACGAGGAATAAAGGCATTTAAAAAATAAATATGTACTTAATTAGCTTTTAATTAGCCATTATATCACGAGAGCACTTATCAACAATACTGGGTACATGTTAGACAGAGTCGAGAAAAAAAAGCTGAATTTTGGATAAAGATAAGCAGGCAGTATATTCGAGGGAATAACAATTAATATCGGAAGGGAGCACGAGGGTGAGTACCTACGTCGTGCTTAAAAATTTCAGACATAAAAATGAGAGCACGCATGGAGAAGAGAGAAAAATAACCTTAGAAAGTCTGTCGAGGAGAGCAGCCTTGTTTCCTGTTTTGTCGAGACCCCGTCGCTCGAGTTCAGTCTTCAGATCTATGACACGGAGTTCGGTCAGTTTTTTGCCTTCGATGTCAGCCATTTTGGCGAGGCGGCGGTGCAACGACTTGTATACGTTGTAGCTCCGGTAGTTGATGCTGTATTGGTGCTGCTACGCGTAAGTACGTGTGTATGTACTTACTCTAGGTAATATGGAGCGCCGGAAAATACGAGGATGGGGTGAGGATCGAATTGGATTATCGGCTGTTGGGGCAGGTAAGATGTGCCGAGGTACCGGGATGGGAGCCTGCCTGCAGAACTGTAAGCATGCACCCAAGTTTTGAGCCGTACTTACTGCGGGGTGGGTACGAAGGGCAGGTATTACGTAGTTTTTATCTTGTTTCTTAACCCAAAGTTAAATTTTTACTTGGGGTTGACAACGAACTAGAACCACTTGTTAAATGATTGGGATTTACGAGGCACACGAACTCTTTACCGTCGTATAACTATCATGCTTGGCCAAGAATTAATCTAAGGGATAGGTGCAATGGCCGCAACTAATTCACCGAAATATACTGAAACTTGAAAGGGAGCGAATCAGCGAACAATCAACAATGTTCACTGGCTTCACTGTTCTTCTCATACATGTATGTATGTATGTATATGTACGCGTATTTTACAAGTTCACAAGTTTGTTTCGCACCAGCTTCCCGTACTACAATTTAGCACAATAGTTCTTTGCCTTTGCTGCAATGCTATCCTCCACTACTACCTCAAGCGTCACAACCACCACTATACTGCACTCTCGACATATCGACTCGACTCGTCTGGTCTCGACACTCGACACTATTGGAACATTTGGAATTGGGAATTGGGACTGATTGGGATTAGAACTAAGTAGTAAAGTGACAATTAGAACTTAGGCGAAGCGCCAATTACCAATGATGAATTTACATAAGGTGGCAAATTTAGAAAGCTGCGAAAGTATAGGTCTCTCAAGCGATGACAGCGATACCTCCGCCGATCTTCATCGGCCAAGAGCTGAGTCCCAAGGGTGGTAGAAAATCCGAACCGGCCGCCTTTCTCTCCAGCATTGAAAAACTTCAGGATTCGTAAAGATCCGAAATATTTTTGTTACATTTCATTGTGGTGAAGAGTTTTGTTGGTATTTAAGTAGTGTCATATGGTCTATTTTATATAAACCAGCCGCGACTTTCACCAAGAGATAGAAAAAAAAAAGTTGTAGTGTTAAATGTCATTTGCGGCAAGATTAAAATTTACCTTTTAATTGAAAATTGGCCATGGATCCATTTTCTTAAAGGTCGAATTTCGATAAATTCTAATCTTGCCGCAAATGTTATCTCAAATCATAGACATACTAAAAAAATCTCGCTTGCAGATCGTTAAACAATCCATGTGTATAACACGTTCCATAAACATTCCGTAAAATTTGTCTACACGGGCCCCATGTCACGGGGTCCAATATTAGACATACACATGATCGTATTCGCCAAAAAAAAAAGTGATAAATAAATATCGTTTGCAAATGTACTCTCACTCTCCTGGCTACTTCTTGTTCCCATTCGTATTTTTTCTTTTTTTTAAATTTTTCTAGTGATTATAATACTCAGCATGGACCGATGGGTGGATGGAATTAGTGGACTCGAGTGTGGGTGTACATATTCCCGACCCCTCCCACGAGTTGAGTGACACTGAAGTCACGTACTGAAGTGTACACGATTCCAGTGTCACTCAACCCACGGAGGGGTCGCGAATTTCTGGCAGTCTAGTGCACTGGGGACACTGGACGTGGACCGTGGAGCCGGCTTAATGTTCATACGACTTTTGTGTGTATGCAGTAAGATGTACGTGTAACTTAGTGATCTTCTTCACGTCCATCGTCACCGGGTCACCGCCACTGGATACTGGACCCCACTTGTACTTAGTGCTTCAGTCCTTGCTGAGAGTGATAGTATGTATGAGTTCTCAATAATAACATACGCTGAAGACTTTGATATTTGTTAGGCATTCCATTGCCTATACCCATCAGCAAAAAATATCTACACTTATATTTATATACGTATAAGTACTCGCGTCGGTAACACTCGGTACCAGTTTTGGAGTCTGCAGTTGGGTATCTCAGATTTAAAATTTAGGTATACTTAGCTTGTGACGCCACCGCTTGTATACTTACTTACTTCCCAGCAGCAGCCAAGTTTTTCTTGAGTATATATTCGGTGGAGCAGCGTTTCTCTCTTATTCTCGTTAGATCACGATTCTTCGTTTCTTATAAATAATTGTAAGTTTTACCTTATACTTATTTCATGTACATGATTTATCTCTCTTATTAATTTTCACACCAAACTATTAACTCTCTGTTGTCACGCTTCTCGTTACACATTTGCTTGTGTTGATCTAGCTTACTACAACAACATTCTCATTTAATAGTTTTATATTATTCCACCTTTATTATATCAAATATCATTTTTTAATGGCTATTTAATGGGCCACTAACTTAACAATCTAGATATTCCATATCATCAATGGTAAACAACCTTTTCAAAAATTAATCTTATTACACTTGACTAATTATGTCTTTTGGTATAAACTTCCCTTGCACCTTCAAATGATACATGTTGATGAAATTACTATTTTTGTAGATGACTCCAGATGGATATGCAAGGGTATATGTAGGTGGACTGACTGAAAGTATCAAAAAAGAAGATCTGCAATTGCAATTTGAAAAGTTTGGTAAGCTAAATAAAGTATGGGTTGCATTCAATCCACCTGGCTTTGCCTTCATAGAATACTTCAATATGGATGAGGCAGAATCGGCATGCAGCAATATGAATGGTACAGAGATCATGGGAACAAAGCTCAGAGTTGAAATCTCTCGAGGAAGAGGTCGTGGAGGAAGAGGTGGATTTAAGACTAGAGGACCTGGTAGAGGAGGATTTGGCTTTCGTGGTGGTTACAGAGCAAATAACGCTGCTGGTGGATATGAACAAGATAGTTATTATTCAGGTAGAACTAACAGTAGCAGTGGATACTATAATCAACATCACAGTGCTCCAAGCTTTGGTTATGGTGCACCAAATTCATATAATCAAGATGGTTACAATGGAAATGATGGCTCCAGTTATTACAGTGGCAGAAATACACGAGATACAAGATACCGAAGTCGTTCCCCTGCTGGACGTGTGAGGTGAAAAAAATGACCTTGCTTTTTTATGTTTCGATTTTGATTGTCTTTCATAGCTTTTAGACTAGTATGAGGATAAAATTACTGCTTTTTATTTAAAGATTAATTTTATATTCTCAATTTTATCATATATTTTCATTCATGTTATACATACACTAATATTCTCAAATTTTACTTTTCCAAATTATATTCATATTTTGATAGTTTATTTTTTTGTCAGATTCATCTTCTCACATGTATTTAATTTCTTTTGCTTATCCATCAACTTATCCTATAGGTATATTTTTATTGTCAGTCTCATATATTTTCAAATTAGGTTGTACATTACTTCCCAAATTGAATTTTTCTCAGTTCTTTTTGGATACTTTTTTGTTGCCCAGAGCTAAGATTTTTAGTCCAACAGTCAAAACAGATTTTTCTCAACAAAATCTCTGGAAGAAAACAAAATTTTCATAAATTTGAGATGTTAAAACTTTTACAACACTGAAAAATTTTATGTTTAAATTTATTAAAATTTCAATGTATCTTAAAATATTTGGCTATGAAAGCACAAGTTTGTTTTCAAATTTTTGGTTTTTTTTGGAATAGAAATCTAATAAATCTTAATTTTAAGTAACAATACAGTAATAGAAAGGGTGGAATCTGAAGAAAGTTCCAGTTAGAAAAAAAGAGACTTTTAGTGGTGATGGTGATACACCTAAATATCTCTATAGATTTGTATACATGCATAAGTACGAGAATAGTGGATAAGTATAAAAACTACTGAAAAAATTGTATAAATAATTTTGTAAAAAAAGGAAATTTTTTATTTATTCTAAGGCTAGAACTGTCCAATAGTAGTTAAATACTTCAAATGTATTTATTATACAATACCATAACAAGAAATTTTTTTTACATGTTCACAGTCAACGTCATCTTCGTGAATGTACATAAACGAACTGCGCAACCTTTTCATGTCAATCTGCAAGCTAACAATAAATCAACACCAACAACAACATCATTTAAGTTAATTTGCGCAGCAATGTGTATATATAAAAATTAATTATTTATGATTGTGCTTTGATATAATTTTTTGTATTTTTAAAGTCTTATTCAGTATACAAGATTTTTTTAGACACATTTTTATACATAAATAAAGTAATTATGAAATTACAACAAAAATTTGTAAAGACTGATTTAATGAAGCAGCTAAAATAGAGTTACATATATCTATCTCATAACTCTGGGAAATTAAATTAGTCAAGCTGTTTGTAAGACATTTACTTTTTATCTAAGAGAATCATAGATAAGTTTGGATTAGGTTTTCGTGTATTTCTACGAATAATTATAAACTTTTGTTTCTTATTGCTCAGCTAATTGATAATATTCATAGCTTTGAAACTGTCAAATTTTAATATTTAATTATTCCAAATAAATAATGTTTTATTGAAAAAAAAAATGGTTTCCATTAGACATTCCTTAGTTCACTAGATCCATACTTTTTTATTTCTCTCGATTATTTTAAGTTACGTATTTTTGAGTTACAACATAACTTGAAAAAAATAATACAATAATTAATGATTTTTATGGACGAAATAATAAACTTAAAATTCAATATTCAATAATTGAATACACATGAATGAAATGGAAATGTGCTTTTCAACATGATACATACTATTATACTACGTTAAAATTAAATTACCCTCTACGAACACGTCTATAGTTAAAATAATAAACTCTCCCACACTAAAAAATCTCATTAACGATGCTACAACAAAACGAGCATTAAAATCCAATCATTCTGTTACGAGTTTTTTTTTTTTTTTTTTTTTTTTTCTTTCTATCTAAGATTTTTTTAAGTAAAATTTGTTCATTGAACACATTTTTCACTTGTCAGAATATACATTAATTCATTTTTAAAATAAAATATCCACTACAAGGTCACTATTATGTACGATTAGTTTTTACGTTGAAATCAAATATAAAGATCATAAGTACAAGGTAAAATAAATAAAAGCTTTTTTTTTACATCTACGCGAAAAGACGTAATTTTGCAGATAAAAATCATTACTAAAACTTAGTCTCGCAGTTAATCCAAATTTCAAGTTTTATTAGTAAATTTTCGGCAAAAATGAAAACTCAACAATGATTGATTTTAAGAAATAAATGTACATGTTACCGTCAGACGATGATTGATAAAAAGTAGTTCATTTTGACTACCATTGTAATTACAGTAAAAATGTTTTGATGAAATAAATATCGAACGGAGTCGTCGTTACTGTAATAATTTGTATAAAATAAGATTTATATCACACTAAGCGTAAAGTTCGTACTGTTCTCCCTGTATACAGGGAGTCCCAGGTCAGGGACAGAAACTGTGTAATAAGTGCGTGTACGCATGCGTATCTATATCTTACTGTATATTACTATATACACAAACCAATAAGTGCCTGGAGTAGTTCGGTGCTCGAACATAGCGAGGGCGCCATACTGCAGTAAACAAACAAATTTGGGAAATATCAACAAGATAAAAGAAGCCAATGTACTGTTTGCTGGTGTATTTTATACAAAAAAAAACATGAGATTCTGAACAAATGGAAATAATTAAAATTGTTATACAATTTTCTTTGTGCACACATTTTTAAATAATAACTGCATTTTTACAGTTCTTCATTTTTATCCATCTTGTATAACAAACTATTGAATTTATTACATTTCGAAACACATTCATTAAAAGAGTTAAATAATTAGGTCCTTGTTTTTATGCTTCCATTGCAAGAATCGAGCGTATGCATATTCATATAATGCTCTCGATTTTATGGGAAGTAAATTTTGAACAATGGCATTTCGTTGACAGTCAAAGTCTCTTCCTTCCCCTACTTTATCCTCGTTAAAGTTTTCTTCGTCAGAAGAATCCTCTTCGAACATGACTGTCGAAACTGTTGCCATATTTTATACAAAAATACAGGAATGTCCTAAATATCACAATCGGAAACAATTATAAAAACTCTTGTGATATAACCTATAACCACACAATGAATGGCTTGTTTTCCTTCTATCTCTCTCCCTCTCAATGCAACGAACTTTCCGCTGAGTGTGATATAAAAGTGTATACGCACCGCGAGACTAAAGCAAGCCAGCGAGTGGCTATTGCTTGTAGCGCCCTCGCTACGCTCGGGCGCACACTACAACAGCCACGAACTGGCTTGCTTTAGTCCCTTGGTACGTAATATACTATTTCGTACTCGGTAAACACTAGTGTATAAGTGCGTGCATGCGTTCGAGGGGGGGAACTTGCGGACTTGAGTGCAAGCGTGCAGTTTGTAAGGGTAGGTATATGTATCACCTTTATTTTATGTCTCCCTCAGTAAGTCCAGTATAGTATACGGCGTACATGGAAAAGTCTTCTAAAAAATCTCCTTTTTCGAGTCTCGAAGAATCAGATTTTACTTCGAAGTGCTATTTATATAGCTATCGCACTCGGTTAATTGGGGTGTCGAATCACTTATACATATATCGATACTTGTTTATCGAGCATATCTCTGATGGATATTGATTTTATACGACCTCTTAATTGTAATATAATCCGAGTCCTAGGATTCACTATCGTGAGTTTTTCCTAATTTATTCCAAGCTCATAATGATACTGTGTCCGGAAGCGAAAGCCTAACGAAAGTTGTTCATTCAATGCATCCAATTGAAAATTGAGCAAAAAAATTAATTATTATTGCATTGAAAAAAAAAAAAATATCTTTACTTTCTTAGTAAAAAGCATGTCAGTTTCATTATTTTTATACTCACTTTTTTTTTTTTTTTTTTTTTATGGATTATCGGGTGTACAAGCGCGGCCGCCATACTTAGGCGCGAGCACCGCAGTTCTTTGACTCCATGGGCTGCCAGCGACGAGGCAGCCGCCGCCGCCGCATGAGAGAGCAGGCGCGAGAGCAGGCGCGAGAGCACCAGCGGTAATACCGAGTCAGTCAACCCGGCGACGGCGTTCAAAAACGTCGTTACTCCGTTCTTTGCGTATCGATACATAATAAACTTACTTATACCTGTGTGTTTACAATATTCCCTTGCGTAGTGCCTTTCCATTATCTGACTGTGTCTCTCGTGTCGGTGTTTTTTAGTATTCAATATTAAATGCAAATAAACATTATTATTGAATGGTGCACGTTTAGTGAGAAGTACCCCACATAAACGTATAAGTATACGAACCCGAGTAGAGCGTAAGCCATGAGCACTGTACTGGAGTAGCAGTGTCGATATATATATATATATATACGTATGTTGATTGCGTTGAATTCATAATACACCACGACGTATACGTATAGTGCACTGTACTGGAGTAGCAGTGTCGATATATATATATATATATATATTATACTTATTACGTTACGGCAGTGATTGGATGTTACGAGTGCCATTGAGNGTATAGTGCACTGTACTGGAGTAGCAGTGTCGATATATATATATATATATATATTATACTTATTACGTTACGGCAGTGATTGGATGTTACGAGTGCCATTGAGTGATCAAAAGGCGGCAAAAAACCAGTTTTTGTACGTATCTATACAGGTAAAGCCAACGAGTGTGAATGCGAGAAGAGGCCATCAGGGAAGAGTGAGAAAGATATTATATAGAAAGGAATAAGTGCTTAACGGAGGAGAGAAAGGTACAATATTGGTATGTGAGCATCGTATGAACCTATACAAGGATGTGAACCCACCAACTGGGCCCAAGCGGCAGTGATTCGGAGCTCTTTTTTATTGTACCTACCTATAGGTAGGTACAAATTTTCGTGGCACACATTGCTTGATTCGGCTCAGGTAAATCTATAAACTCATTCTCGTGTAGATGTAAGAGGAGAGGTGTGTCTGCATTGTCGCATACTTACCGTCGTGCAGTTAATAACGTACGCCGGTTGATGTAAAAAAAAAAAAAAAAATAAACAAGTTTTTTCAGAGCTACTTACTACTTCTTCTACGTAGGAAGTGGTTAGATCCTAATACCAAGTGAGATCAACAGTGAGATGAGCGTTGTTAAAAAAAAGAAGAGAAGATAAGTGTGTGTTTTATCAGATGTTAAAAAATTAACACGTTAATAATTGTGACGAAACTGTCGCTGAAAAAGTACTCGTCGGTTCCTCTGCATCGGTGGACCAACATACCCCAAGGAAATTTAAGGACAGCATAACGAATTCGGAGCAACCTCGGACGTCCCTGGCCTTATTTATAAGGAAAGAAATATCAGGCTGTTGCTGCCGACACATATTAGGCACGACGAGGACACGTTCCCACGCCCGAGTACCTATTGTATGTACCCTGTTGATGCACCTGACGTGGGAAACTTTCGTACTTAATGACATACGAGTACTCATTGTACATCGCGATAAATAAAGACGTATACGTATATAATATTGTCGAGTAGCTGATTATTGCCGTTTTGGATAAACCGACTGATCCGACGAGAGATTGGAAGTAAGAAAATCCTTGGAGAAAACAACGCGCCACTTGTGGAAGAAGCGCGAGAGACGAGTACACCCAATCACGGATCAGAGATAAGTCGATATACTGAATACATTATGACATCGTATATGTGAACAACACGCAATAATCAAAAAAGCCATTATTTAGCTAGTGCTTGTGTAGGTGAGCGTAAATGTAAGAGTGTGTTTTTTTTATACATGGTTGGTGGTGCAATCGACTAATAAAAAGTGCGCGAACAGTGACCACATTGTATACAATATACGTACGACAATGCGTCTTTCGAAAACTTGGTCGAAGCATCAAGTATATTAGTGATAAATTATAATAAATTTGAAAAGAGTACTCAGGCAGGCGAAATGTCATCGACCTTGATCCGAGAGGGATAAAATCGATCCTCGAGAGTGGAAGAAATCTTTTTCAAAGGGGGTAAAATAAAATCGCTGTAAAAGTAAGCCGACAAACGTCAGATAGAACAACATAAAAAAATATATCCATCACGATGGAGGAAGAGTTGCGTTGCCCGGCGTGCAAGAGCTTCTACAGCGAGCCGGTCCTGTTGCCGTGCTGGCACTCCCTGTGCCTGGGCTGCGCGGTCGGGATCCAGGACTCGGCCCCTGAATCCTCGAGCGCCGATTCGACTGGTTCCGCCGGCAGCACTGCCAGCAACGGCCCGGTCTCGGCGGCCTCGGACCAAGAGGCCGACAAATTGTCGATCCTCTCGGAGACGGACTCCGGGGTGGTCTGCAGCAGCGGCAACTCGACGGGCTCGTCCAGGCCCGGTAGCTACGTGGGCACCCCGGGCAACGGGGGCTGCTTCCCGCCGAGCGGGGGTACCCTGTGCCTGTCGTGCCCCGTGTGCCAAAAGACGGTGTTTTTCGACGATGGCGGTGCCCACAACTTGCCCAAGTACCGGGCCATGCAGAGAATCGTCGACAAGTACGTCGAGGCGAAGAACGTCAAGCTCATGTGCCAGATGTGCGAGAAGGAGCCAAAGGAGGCGACTGTCGCTTGCGACCAGTGCGAGGTGAGGGGGGCACAACTACTTTGTTTTTTATTGTCATGTTTACTTACCCCCACGATATTAATTTTGTTTACCCAACTGCTCTTTTTTTTTTTTTTCGTCTTTCCCGAAATACGAGAATGAGATTGAGGGGCGATAGGGTCGAGTGGGAGCAAAGGGGGAGATCTGTAGATTGAGTCTCTTTTAATGCTCGATGGTTGGTTGTTGCAGAAACGATCAACGATGATTTAACACTTTTAATTTGCTGGACAGTTTATTGTTTATTTATTTATAATTACTATTTTTCGTATTTCGTTATTATCGTTTATTATTAGCCGGACAGTTAATTTACCGTCTTTGGTCAAAACGAGTGTGTTTGATCGTTGTACGATGTACACCTATACTTGTTTTGCGTTATGCGCGCAAATCGAGGAACAATGTAAATTTGATATTCTGTTATTTGAATTGTAGTTTTACAGTTTTGTCCAATTGTTGATAGTTTTTTTTTATTTCCATTATAACTTTTTTGTTGCTCGTCACATTGACAAATGTGGGGGGAGTAAAAAAAAAGATCGAGAAAAATACAAAGGCAAAAAAAAAAAAAATGGTGCGTAAAAAGAGCAACAACAATAAATTCAATGTAAAATTCAGTCGTGTGCAACGTAGACAACCTCGACACTGGATGTCCATTCTGATTTTATATGAGTATTTGGTAAATAAGTAACGATTTTTTAATGTAGCAAAACTTTCCGTTGACTATTTTCCGACAACTTTCATGAACAAATTTTTGCTTTTCTGTATAGTCTACCTAATCGTATAGTACTATATACTAGTTTCTTTCATTTGCTTGTATTATATATGCGCGTAAAGAAGTAAGTATAAGCGTAGGATTAATTATATTTCCACATACGAGGTTGCTGGTCTACAAAGACTCGAATTTCACTGGTGTCGTGTTACAGTTGAGTTTCCGTGTAAAAGTAGTTATAAACTAGGTATAGGTACTACGACTTTCTTTTAAAAGACACCACGATGCAGTTACCCTATATACTTATTGGGCGAGTTGAAAAATGTATACTACACGAAAACTCAATATATTAAAANTTTAAAGAAAATTTTTTAAAAAACCCTCTCCCGAAAGTGTCGACATGGCAATTTGCACCAATCGTAGGTGCAATATAGAAAAAAAAAAAAAAAAAAAAAAAAAAAAAAAAAAAACAAATTAAATTGAAGAAAGAGTATATAATATATGTATAATATGTGTGTACCACGTAATGGCCGTAGGTGCTCTACTGCGACAGCTGCCGCGAGTCCTGCCACCCGAAGCGTGGCCCCCTGGCAGCGCACAACCTCGGTCCGGCCCAGGCGAGCTGCTGGGCCAACGGCAGTCGCAGCAGCCGTGGCGGCTCCCTGGGCCACGACAACGGCAACCCCGGCTGCCCGGAGCACGCGGGCGAGAGCCTCAGCCTGTACTGCGCCCTGTGCAAGGTAGCCGCGTGCGGCCTCTGCCTACGCGACCGGCGATGCGCGACCGTGCATCCCCACGACGTCTTGCCCCTAGCTGCAGCCTGCAAGGCCCAAAAGGTGAGGTTTTTTCTTTCTTTCTATATTTTTCATTTTATAATATATATATATATACGTATGTTGATTGCGTTGAATTCATAATACACCACGACGTATACGTATAGTGCACTATGCATCCATAACTTACGGTGTCGCGAGAGCGCAGATGCTTCCAAATTTGAGGGAATCTATAGTAGGTGTAACACATTGCATTTTTACCTTTCGCCTCGGCTTGTCCTCTGTAAGAAAGAACAGAGGGAGGGAGAGCCATCAGCTGCTGGCAAAGTTTATGGTGGATCAGACATACGGTCAGGGGGTGGACCCCGTGCAGCTGCTACGATGGGGGCCCTATACATACGTATGTATGTTCGTTTGTGCAATATTTGGTACCTACATAACAACATATTTTAAGCGCGTATATGTGATTGGAACCAATGTAGGTACACCTAAACCCAAGGGGCAAAAGCTGCATTGGTCACCAAAACACTTGTATATGCTGGGGTTCACTGTACAATAATAATAACATACGTATCTTGATGTTGCACACTTATAGTGAATTCGTCCCCAGGTTTATATAATATATACCTATACATGCTCCCCATACATCATTATCTGTACCAGCAAATCGGTGGGTCTTTAATCCAGGCAATTCTGTTATGTTTTTAGTTGTATATATTACTCAATAGTTCAGTTTATCTTTTTTTTTTATTTTATTTTTTTTTTTTAGCTCCTCCCGTTATCCGCTGAATTGAATGTGGTTGTTATAATATACGTTAGGCATACATAAATAATAAATTAATGTAACTCTCTCTTTGTGAGACTTTTGTTTATTTTTACATTTGAAACATCGTAATTTAATTCTGCGGATGTCGCCTCGTTGCGCGCAGCCAAGCTGTAAAATACGACGTATGTACAGTCACAAAGCCACCAATACCCATACTTGAAAGGAGCTTTTAGAAAGGCTGTGTAGAAGCAGTGTGCCCTGAAAATGCACATTTGGCGCTACTTATGTGCGTGTACCGATAATGCACTACGTATAGGCACACAAGTTATGGAGGTACATCGTCCAATGCGCCAGCTATTGCAGATATTATTTTTGCTTCAGAGAAATAATAGGCGGTACGCGCCCAACAAGCGTTATATATACCGCGTGCACTCCGATCAGAAAGATTGTTTTTCTTTTCTCTTTCTCATGCTCTACTTGGCGTCACGATTCGTCCATTGATTTACTTTTAATTGTACTCGCAATCACAATTTTTCTGGGATGTTAATGCATAAGTATATAAAAATCTGCATACTTTTTCTCTCATTTAAAAACTCTCTCGATCAAATGCACACACATAGGCAGAAATAATACAACAAACCTCCACGTGTGTATATAACATACGCGCTTGTTCATAGGACAAGTATATAGATGTATAGGTACACAAGAAGGTATGCGAAAGCCAGTCGAGCGCGATTTCAACAATGATAAAAGCCGCGACTGCTCGGGCACACCTACGTAAAATTATTATCTGAATTTAATCGCGTTTAACCTATATACGTATATAATATAAAGACACAGAGACGTCATATTGGGTGTAAAAACACCTGGGGTAGCTCATTTTATTCCGCTATGGAGGCCAAAACAAAAATGAAATTTCATAAGTATTTCGAAAGCTATGAAGCTCAAAAATGACCCAATTTATCCCGTGTCCCATTCATTGGCAAATAGTAGCGCTCGCAGGGTTAGACGAGCAACGTTAAGCTTGAAAACGTGACGAGGATGGCAGCCGAGTAAACATCAGTCACATCGCGTAGCGAAGGTTAATTTATATCGCATCATCCGCGTGTCGAATGTATACAATAAAACGTAGCCTCGCGATTTTACGTCTCGGTGTGCGTGCACGCTGCTGCGGTTAAACGGGACGATGTTTGGTGGACGCGATATTATGGCAAAAATTAGTTACGCGACAGCCCGGCTTGTGGAGCTGATAAGGTATATGTATAGGTTTAATTGCGGTCGAACGGCGATAAATGACACGTATAAGCGAATAGGCTGCTTTTGTGCGAAAAACGAGTTTTTCGCTTTTCGAGCCGAGCATGGCACCATCGCCATAGGGTTATTGTGTTTACGAGAGATTGGGAGGGTGGGCCACGTTATCTCCCGGTGCCGTAAACCAGGAGTGCGGAGCGCTCGCTGAGATTAGCTGTCGGGAGAGGCGGGAAGGGACCGCTCTTCCCTCGGAGTATTAGCCATCAGCCGGGCGTTATGCATTACCCTTAACCGCCCCCGAAATTACGCACGGCCGATCTCACTCGTACCTATATATATATACGATACATATCTATATACAATTTCGCACAATCATTACTGTAGAACAAATACATTTCGCCTCTGCCGTGCTATACCCCCGCTCGCTGTGCCGGGATACCCTTAAGCTGCTGGTTATTCGATGCAAACACACCACTCGAGGCTGTCAGGATATTAGTATACCCATCACAATACTAAGTTTTTAATTATGATGGTATTGTTTACTCTATACGTAGAAGTAGGATAATATGATAGGTACTATTAAAAGTCAAGATGTTTCCTCCTCGTTACATTATGGATAGGAGAAAGGGGCCGAAAATCCCAAATCAATTTTGGCAAAGGTGTACCTATGTTTACAGATAGTTGCAATTAGTTACACTTTCATGTGATGTTGTAGAGACCCTAAAAGTATTTGTATCATCATTAATTATTAACTGGTGAGCGACGTATACTCCATACTGGAACACAAATTGAAGAAAAACCAAAAGTACCTAATTTAGATGCGATGGACGAAGAGGGGTAAATAATTGTTCGAATAAAAAGAGCGAAAAAAGTGGTATGCTCTGCTCACACCAGACGCTCTTTTTAATTAGCTGAATTTTTTTTTTTTTCCATGCTCGCTAGTTTTTCCGAGTTTTCTTGGAAATGGTAGCGCTGCGATTTGACCCGTTTATTTCACCTCGCGATCTGTAGAGCAGCTTTTACTCATGATGGCTGCTACGCGTGAGCGGTAGATTATTTTTTACACAAAAAAAGTCAGCTCTCGAAGTAAAAGTTTTTTATTGTTTTCTACCGAAACATGAAACAAACGTCAACCAAAGAGGCTTGCAGGCTCCTCGGCGTTTTTTTCCCACACGTATATGCACATGCACGCGGCGCAGGGACCGAAGTATAAGAAAGAAAGCCAAGTCCCAAAGTTTTTACCAACTCCGCGCCACCCGACACCCTCCCCTTTGTATTTATATACACGTACCTTGTACCACGCGCCGAGCCATAAATAAGAGCCCGTCTTCTCCTCCTCCCTCCCACCGTTGCCCGGAAAGGAAACGCAAATAGGAGGAAGAAAAAAAAAAACCCCTCGAGAGAGGGGGCTCGGCTCCCCAGCATCGCGCGGAAAATGCTCCGCCACCCCTTCTTGTCGTCATCGCCGACGACGCATAATCAAACCCCTATTTTCCACTCGTTCCGACTTTCGAGTGGAAATTTCGCGGCATCTCCCCCTCGCCTACATTCAAGTATATTATGTATTATGTAAGTACATAAAACGATATTACACGGGGGAGGGGGGGGGGCGAGAGAAATATGTTGGTGCACATTATTATTACCAACTATATATATCTTTCTGGTTTCACTCTTGCGTTGATTTTTTTTTTTTTTTTTTTATGTAAATCCTTGGTACTCGTTTCGGGCTCTCGCGGCTCCATCAAGCCCATCGATCGATCCCTAACGCTCGTCCTTTGGCCTTCCCGCGGAGCTCTTGCCTGATGGCTCTCACTTTGCTCCATTTCTTTCGCACGGTTACTTTTGCCCCGTCTCCTCTGTTGCTCGGAGAGAGGTCAAGTTTGGAGGGGCCTCGAAAGGGAAAGGATGCAAGGGTAGGGTCTCCCCTTTTTCATTCCTTGCGCTTATTTTCTTTCCTCGCTTAACCACAACTCAGGATAATGATTAACAATCATGTACAAGTATAGGTAAAGCCGAGTATAAACTGTTTTTTTTTTTTTTTTTTTTTTTTATACATTTAAATTTAAATGAGTTCAAATTCCATCTCCTATTGTATTCACTCGGTTCGCAGTAAGTTTTACACAATGCCGAGATTGCGAAACGGATAAAGATAAATGATGTATAGTTACGAGTTGCGGTCCTGAGACTAAAAATCGTTTGCTCTCGATTCGATTCGTCAGTCCCGCGAAACATTCCACAATCCATTGATACTGATACAACAAACTATACAGTGTACGCATTAATGTCAAGTCCGAGGCACACACTCGCATCAGCACGCGAGAAAGGAAATCGAGAGACTGTGAACAATCAGAGCAAATATAGTCGTTGGCGGCTGATCTAAATCATCAAACTGCGAGCGCGCAAATGATTATCATATGGTTATGCTGCTTTGACTCGTAGAGATGACGGATCAATCGCCCTCTCTCTCTCGCACCCGTGCATTCAAATGGATTGCAGAAAAGTATTGACGCCCCATATGAACAGGGAACACTGTGAAATGGCTCTCGGATGCAATGGCAATATTTTTATTGCATTGCACACTCCTATTGATTGCGTTTAGACGCATTTGAATGCACGGGTGCGAGAGAGATGACGGATCATCTGCCCTCTTTCTCGCACCCGTGAATTCAAATGGATTGCAGATTGCTATTAGCGTTGCGTCTGAACGCACCCTTAGGCTGCGTTTAGATGGAGTCTGCCAGACTGGCACTGAAGCCTATAAGAGTGAGAGAGAGGTTCATCACGTGACCACATCAAACCTCTCTCTCACTCTTATATTAGGCTTCAGTGCCAGTCTGGCAGACTCCCAGACTCCATCTAAACGCAGCCTTACGCACTTTGAAATTGCACTAACGTGCGAGAAATTGAGCCGCGGCTAGAAAATTTACGAGCCAACTCTCGCGTCGCAATCTTCACGAACGAAAGCTGCGCACTCTGCGAGCCTTCACTAGTGCGGCATATGTGTATATTATAATATAAAATCACGCATTTAGCCATATTCCGTATG